GAACCAGGAGTCCTGGGAGCACCAGGGACTCTGGGGTTTGAAGAGTGCCCAACAGGGACCAGCAGATGGTGCATGATTAAGTCGCTGGACTCCCATGTAGTCGACTGCGGTTTGAGTCCCGGACCCAGCAGCTTAAAGCTCATGCCGGTTGTGTGTGCGTGTGTGCCCAAAATCCCGAGAGGAGAATGGAGGAGAAGGGATTGCAGCCTGGCCACCTCCCCTGCGGGGGATTTCTCTCTTTCTGTCTCTCTGTATCTCTCTGTCTCTCTGGTGAGAGCACATACCCTATAGCAAAAAAATCTCTAAAAAAGAGAAAAAGAAAAGTGCCAGACAAAGGAGGCCATGGCCAACAGGTGCATCAGACAGGATTCCGGCCCAGAGGGCTCTAGCTAATAGCCGCCAGACGATGGGGTGGCTGGAAGGGGTGCTCAGAGACATCACAACCCCCAACACCACAATGCCAGGGAGAGTGGCTTCACCTTTGGGTTCAGAGCAGTGAGTTCCTGAGCAGGAAAAGGCCAGGTCATGAAATATTCCAAGGGGTGACTCAGAGTCAAGGTGCAGGGAGATTAGATAGATCCCAGGCGGGCAGTGCATGGAGGCCAGATCCTGGGGCCATATGACCTTTCATTCATAACCATCAGTTCAAGGAGCGTTCCGTTCCTCAAGGACAACTCAGTGCCAGGCTGGGTGTCAGGCTCAGTGGAGAATGGGGAATGAGGAGACATGGGTGGGGGTGGGAAGAGGCCACAACACCAGGAAGGAAAATAACTGAGACGAGTGGTTCTGGCTCACTTCAGAATCGCTGTACCCGTACCCCAACTTTCCAAGGCAGAAAATAACTTTGCCTGGCCCCACCCGGGCTAATTAAATCAGAATCCCTGGGGACTGGGTCTGAGCATGGGAGCATCAGTATGTTTAAAAAGCTCCCAAGTGATTCTGACAGCAGCTGGGGCCAAGACCACAGCTCCAGGTCAAAACAAAGAGCCAGGGTGAGAGGAGCTGGCAAGGGGGTGGGGGGGAAGCCTGTTGGCTCTGTGGGTAGAGGGGTTCGCAGTGGGAGGGGTCGCCTTGTCATTTACTCACTCACTCATTCACCTCTCCCGCGCTCTCTCCTCTTCCTCCCTCCATTCATTCATCCAGCAAAGTGCTGACACTGCCAGATGCTAGGCACTCCTACTGGACAAGCGGAAATGGCCCTTTGGCCAAACACCTAATGACTGAGGGGTGATGGGGGTAGCTGGAAGGGAACAGGAAATCATTGCATATACTTTTCACTTTTTCTATTTTTTTTAAAATTTTGCCATAGGACGCGTGTTATAACCAGAGAGGGACAGAGAGAAAAACAGAGAGTGAGAAACCACCCCCCAGGGGAGATGGCCATGCCACAATCTCTTCTCCTCTCAGGATTTTGGGCCTGTGTGAGGCTGTTTTGTTTTGTTTTGAAGAGAGATTTTTGCTGTAGGGTCCGTGTGGAAGCTGGAGAGAAGGAAAGTGAAAACTCATCCCCACCGGGGATGGCCACACTACAATCCTTCTCCCCCGTTTCTTTCCAGATTTTGAGTATACGTGTGCACTCCCTCACACACGCACACATACATCTGGCATGTTTTTGAAGCCACGGCATCTGAGACTCAAACCATGAAGTTGGTCATGTGGGGGATCCAGCTGCCTCAAACACAAGGCTACCAGCTGGCCCCACTTTTTATTATATTTTATTTTATTTGCTATGTTTTCTCCCTTTATTCATGATAAAGTACATGTGGTGGGGGGGCATAAAAGAGAGAGAAGCACCCTCCCCAGGGCCTGGTCACACCTCAACCCCCTTCCTCCGGCCCTCCAGCCATTGGCTCCTGAGCACTCAGGTGTGCCTGGTGTGTCAGGTGGCCTAGACCAGGTGGGGTTTAAACCGTGTTTCCCATGTGGATCTGGCTACTCTTGAGCAGCACGTTACCGCTGTGCCATGCAGCCTGCCCTCCAGGCGTGTACACTGTGTGTGTGTGTTACACTCATTGTAGGCTGGTGATATTCCAAATGTCTATGGAGCATCTACTGGTCTTTCGATTCTTTCGGTCTCCTGATGGCAGACTTCACTGTGACAGTCGAAGTGGCTACCATCTTCACGCAGGAACCACAGGGCCAGATCTCCACAGCCCATTTCTTCACCCTGGTTTTGCCACAGGAAGGACAAGTGTACTTGGAGTAGTGGCTGATTTCAATTTTCTTCACCATTTTCCAGAGGGAGGCATCAGAGTGGGTCCCGTATCTACCCACGATGCTGACCTTGGTGCGTTTAGCCACATTGCCACCAACTGGGACATATACACTTTTAAGCTTTGATTTATTCTTTCTTTTCTATTAAAACAAAAACAAAACTCTATATGGGGACTAGCAGATGGTGTAATGGTTGTCGCTGGACTCCAAGGTAGTTGACTACGGTTTAAGTCTCAGACCGGGGGACTCAAAACTCATGCAGAGCACGTGTGTGTGCATGCCCAAGATCCCGAGAGCAGAATGGAGGAGAAAGGACTGAGGTGTGGCCACCCCCCCAGGGGGTGATTTCTCATTTTCTGTCTCTGCCTCTCTCTGTCTCTCTGGCTACTGAGTGTGCCCTATAGCAAAAATCTCTAAAACACACACACACACACAAAGTCTATGATTTTTCTTTTTAACCAAACATGGCTTTGAAAAGAACATTTTTTCAAGAAAAATTGTTTGGAGCTGGATAAAGAAGGGACTTGAGTGCCAGATGGAGGAGTAGGGATTTTACTTTACTCCACCAGCAACAGGGAGCCAGGTAGGCAATGGAAGAAGACAGTGCGAAGGTCAGAGTTGTTGGGAATGCTGGGGGCCAGGCCCTTCGTGATCAGGGCCCAGAGTTGGGAACCAACCCCTTCCTTCCCAGGCTCCTGAGCCTGCCACCTGCTGGCACCACTGAGAGCTCTTGGACTGGGTGGGAGAGCAGCACCTGGAACCAGGGTCCCCAGCTCTTCGGCCCTGGCTCCCACATGCCTTCTCCCCTAGGCTCATCCACCATGACCGACCTGAGCGCCCAGGTCAAAGGCTCTCTCAACATCACCACCCCTGGGGTGCAGATATGGAGGATCGAGGTGAGACTCTGCTGGGTGTCGGGAAGGCTCCCAGACCTGGTACTCAGTTTCCTCGGGTCCCACCCCCATGTCCTGCCCACAAGCTCCACCTCTCACCTCTGAGGACCCACAACCCCTGCTCTTCCCTCTCTTCCTTCTCCCTTTTCTTCCTACACCACATCCCTTGCCCCTCCTTTTCCCTTTTCCTGTTTCTTCCTCGTCCATCTTTCAAGCTTCTTCTCCCCCCAGTCTCTTCCTTTCCCTCTGCCTCTCACACAGCTTTTTCTACTTCCTCTCTGCCTCCTCTCCTTTCATTCCTGGGCTCTGCTCTTTTATCCATTCCCTCCTCTCCTCCGTTCTTTTTGTCTGCGTTCTCCTAGCCTTCTTCCTCCTCCCCCAGGGCCGGGGTGGGGGGTCAGGGGCAGCGACGCTGACCTCCCTTCTCTCACAGGCCATGCAGATGGTGCCTGTTCCTTCCAGCACCTTTGGGAGCTTCTTCGATGGTGACTGCTATGTGGTCCTGGCTGTGAGTGGGACTGGGCAGGGAAGGGGGAGCAGACAGCAATGCCTGCTGTGATGCTGGGATGAACGGGAGGCTGGGGGTGGGGCGTGGTGGTGGGGGAAGCTGGCCCGGCCTTGTCTCCAGATAGCAGCTACTGGTGTGCCGGGGTGCCCAGCCTTGGGGTAGCTCTAGAGGGGCCAGAGGCGTAAAGGAAGAGGCTCTTCCTGCCCTTGAGCCACTGAGCTCCCAGCGGAGGTGACCTTCAGCGGATTCACTGTCTTGGGGACCTTTGGAGCTGGTGCAATGTCACCCTGAGTTCACAGTTCCAAAATCTATGGTCACTTTCATATCACCTTCTTTATTTTCGCCACACCCTGGTACCACCAGTACGATGGAGGCACTGCATTTTTCTGTATTGACTCTCTTTACAATTTGAAATACATTTATTTCACTATGTAACTAGACAGGAGTGGCTAGGCAGCGGTGGCCGCCTCACGAGCAGGAAGTAGCCATGAAACACATTTCACATTATATTTCATATAATATGCTCATTTGTATGTCACTTAGTCACCTCTGCTAGTCACCCACACATGACACTTTGGAACTGTTGCCATGGTCCAAAGTATTTCTGAGGTGAGGAGAGGGAGGCCCAGAAAGGGGAAGCCCCTTGCTTCAGTCAGCATCAGTGGCAGAGCTGGCCACGACTCAGGGCTCCTGAGCACCTGTTCACCTGTGGTCCAGGGCCCCGTGGTGGGATGCCGGGCAGAGCCGGGAGGCGGGAACGCACTGGACATCCCCTCTTCCTAGATCCACAAGACGAGCAACAGCCTGTCCTATGACATCCACTACTGGATTGGCCAGGACTCATCACAGGACGAGCAGGGGGCAGCCGCCATCTACACCACGCAGATGGACGACTTCCTGAAGGGCCGGGCGGTGCAGCACCGCGAGGTCCAGGGCAACGAGAGCGAGGCCTTCCGAAGCTACTTCAAGCAGGGCCTTGTGTAGGGAGGGGCGGCTGTGCACTGGGGCGGGACACAGACTGGGTGGGTGGGGACAGTGGGGGTCAGAGGTTGGGAGGCAGGGGTGGGGGCTGGGCTGAGACCACCCAGACCTGTGGGAGTGGGAAGTTTCCTGGAGCTAGGAAGGTGTCTCCACCACTCCTGTTTCTGCCACTCCTGTTTCTGCCACCACCCTGTCCTGGGTTCCATCCCTCTGGGTGTGCCTCGGGCTGTCCCCAGAGGCTGTTCTGAAATTCTATAACTGCGTACCATGAATTTCTGCAAATCAGCTCTGTGTCAGTGTCCAGGAGAGCTCTGGGTCTGGGGAGGCCTTTGGGGCATCAGGGCAAGAACCCCCTCACTGGCCTGGGCAAAAGCCTGCTCTCTTTAAAATTTTTTATTCTTTTTAAAGAATTATTTTTATTTAACTTTATTTATCCATTTATTTATTTATTTTTATTTGACCAGAGAGGGATAGATGAGAGAGAGAGAGAGAGAAAGTGAGAAAGCAAGCCACCAGGTCCAGGACTTGAACCGCGGTCGGGCCTGTGAGAGTCCAGCACCCTTAACCGTCATGCCATCTGCTAGCCCTTCTCTCTCCTTTTTAAAGTTCACTCACTTATTTCTTACACGAATGAGTCAGAAAGAGAAAAAGAGAGAGAGCACTTCCAACAGGGTCTTTTTTATTTTTTTAATAATAGTATGTGCTCACGCACAAGGGAGAGAGGGAAGTACCTTTGATCGTCTCTCCCCAACCCTCTAGCTCCTCTCCATCCTGGGCACCTACACAAATGCCTGGCATGTTTTCAAGCCCACCTGGGGATCTGAACCCCCAGGCAGCTCCTGGCCCTGCAGAGGACTGTCTTAGTGCCGCAGCACAGTGTCTGGGCCCCAACAAGTTCTCAACGCCACAATCCACCCCCAGCGTCAGTCATCCCTGGGTCAGGGGTGTTCATGAGCCTGGTGTCCTCAGGAAGGTCTCTGGATATGAACCTGGACCTCTCAAGGGTCAGCTTCACAGAGCATTGCGCTTTACTCCTGCACCGCCATCCAACCTGTCCCCCCTTCTCTAAAGCAGGCCTTTCCCACTAAAACCCTACACAGCTGGCTTTCCTGGCAAGGCTGAAGTTCTGGCCTCCTGGCTTTCCTCATGGAAGCATAGCCCCTTGGCAGACTCGCAGCACTCTCATTAGCTGCAGTCCCCACCTCTCCCTTTTGTCTTACTCTCCCTGTCACACACTGCAGCAGCAGTCCACGCCTGTGAGCATCTGAGGGGCACCTCTGCCTTCTTCCATGTCAATCCCCTGCCCTCAGGGTCTTGACTTTGCCCACATTTCCTACCCTTCACTACCATGCTGCCTTCATCTTTGCAAACCCCTAGCAGGGCAGGAATTGAGGCGAGGTGAGGGAGGATCTAGGGTGTAGACTCTAAGGCAGCCTTCACTGTCAGGGTCATGCAAAGCCAGGCTATAGGCTGACCTTACATTTGCAGGACCTGAACAGTCCCTCCTTAAAGTTTGCACCCCAAGCACTTCATTCACTTTCCCTAATCCCAGCCTGGCTTAAGATGGCCACAGAGGCAGCTAGACAGCCCAGGACTTGGGATGGCAGGGCCCTGGCACACACCTCTCCGCCTACTCCCTTGTGTCAGCTCCACTCTCTTCTCAGAATCCGGAAAGGGGGCGTGGCTTCCGGCCTAAAGCAGGTGGAGACCAACTCCTATTCTGTCCAGCGGCTGCTGCATGTCAAGGGCAAGAGGAACGTGGTGGCCGGAGAGGTAGGCAGGTCCCCCTGGACATTGGCCAGGGCTCTGAGGCCCAGGGTGGAGGGCAGGGGCTGAGGAGGGGTGAGGGGCAGGGAGGGATGGCTAAGAGAAGATGGAGAGCGAACAGGCTCTGAGTGGGGTCTGGGCCTCCTCCTGGCTCCTTAGGTGGAGATGTCCTGGAACAGTTTCAACCGAGGGGACGTATTCCTCCTGGATCTTGGGAAACTTATTATCCAGTGGAACGGCCCAGAGAGTAACCGTATGGAGAGACTCAGGGTAAACTGCCCATACTCCACCCTCAAACCCCAGCCTCTACCCACCTGCTCCTGCAGACCTAGCACCGGCCAGTCCCCAGCCACACTTGTCAGACTTCCGCCCCCCCTGTGCCATCCTTAGTTCCCAGGGCTTCACTCCCCTGGCTGTAGGGGATGGCTGAAGGCAGATCTGAGCCCTCAGGACTGGGAAAGACATGCATGTTGGAGTGTGAGTGTGTGCTTGTGGCTAATCCATCAGGAAGAATGAGGGCCTGCAGGTGTAGACCCCATACCAAACTTTGGGGATCCAGCAATGAATAAAATGGACAGATTCCCCACGCCACGGTCTGGCCTCTGGCTGGCCACCCATTGAGGGAGACAGCCATGATGGGAATACTTGGAGAAGTGATCATGGTGCTGGGGGTCCCACCCTAAGGTAGAAAAGGTGGCTGGTCAGGGGCCTGCCTGCCAGGACAGCAGGAGCTGGAATAGCAGAGCGGCAGGTCTCACGGGCGCACGTTCCATGGCCAAAGTTTGGGTTTTGGTCTCAGTGACCCAGAGGTGGGCGGATGAGGGGCCTTCTGACTACTGAGTGGAGAGGGGGCCTGGTGAGGCAAGGGAAGCAGGGAGCCCCTGAGCCCATCCAGGTGGAGCAGAGGTGGAGGTGCCCAGGCTTGGCCTTGGAGGACAAAAATCAATAGGCTGGTGTGTGTGTTGGACGAGAGGCGAAGGGAGACAGGAGCAGGCAGGACTGAGAGCGTATGCTCTAGCACCTAAGGGGACGGGGGAAGCTCCATTTCCTGAGATGGAAATTTCGGGAGAGAATAGACTTCCATTTCGGACACCTTAAAATGGGGTTGTCTTCTTGGAAGACGGATGAGTAAGAAGAGAGCACAAGGCTGGGCTGGAGACGGAAAGCTGGGTACCAGCAGTTTCAGGACCTGGGACCCCAGGAGGCAGGCTGAGGAGGGCATGCAGAGAGGGAGCCTGGGGTTTGCAGTGCCTGGAATGTTAGCCGGGCTGAGGAGGGGGAACTGGAGTGTGTGTGAGCACACCACAGACTGTGCTCTGGGCGGATGACACGTGAGTGTGCATGTGAGTGTGAGCTCCCAGGAGGCTGTGCAGTCTGAGGGGGGCAGGGCCATGTGTGAGCGTGACCGTGTGCCTATGGGTGTGAGCACACGTGAGGCTGTGTGTGTGCTGTGCTGGGGCACTCTGGGGCAAAGAGGCTGTACTTGGAACCTGAGGGCTCAGCTTGGCTTTTAAACTGAAGTAAAATGACAAATGTCAAACTATGATGTCGCCAATGCCAAGCAAGTCCATCTCCCCCTCCCCGGTTCTGCCGTGAGGAAGCCCACTTTCCTGCAGGCTTTCACTGGGGTTCCTTGAAAGCCCAGTCCTCCTCCTGGGGAAAGGCAGGCGGCGGACTCAGCCCTTGCAGCTGCTGGGGGGAGCCATCCTGACTAACCAGGGCCCCTCCTGCAGGGCATGACCCTGGCCAAGGAGATCCGAGACCAGGAGCGGGGCGGACGCTCCTACGTGGGCGTGGTGGACGGGGAGCGCGAGTCAGAGTCCCCACAGCTGATGGAGGTGATGAACCACGTGCTGGGCCCACGCAAGGAGCTGAAGGCAGCTGTGCCCGACTCGGTGGTGGAGCCGGCTCTCAAAGCTGCCCTCAAGTTGTACCAGTGAGTGTTGGCTGGGATCTTCCTGGGGGTGGCGGGCTTCCTGGGGGTTAGGTGCCCTGGCTGAGGGGCTCTGGCCCTTCCCAGTCCATGCCTTGCCTTTGTCCTGCAGTGTGTCCGACTCGGAGGGAAAACTGGTGGTTAGGGAAGTCGCCACCCGTCCACTGACACAGGACCTGCTCAATCATGAGGTGAGAGGGTCTGAGAACCTGGTCCACTGTCCCCTAAGCAGAAGAAATCCTAGGGTGCTTGGGGGGATGGGAGGAAAAGAGCCTTTTCTGTGCCTGAAACTACCTGATCCAGCAGCCCCAGCATCACCTGGGTCTTGTCTCCCAACTCCAGGACTGTTACATCCTGGACCAGGGGGGCCTGAAGATCTACGTGTGGAAGGGGAAGAATGCCAACGACCAGGAGAGGAAGGGAGCCCTGAGCCAGGCTCTGGTAGGGATGGGTTCTGGAGGGACGGGTGGACAGCACAAGGGGCAGGTGGGCTAGACCAGACCACAGCAGCCTGGACCAGGGGGGCCTGAAGATCTACGTGTGGAAGGGGAAGAATGCCAACGACCAGGAGAGGAAGGGAGCCCTGAGCCAGGCTCTGGTAGGGATGGGTCGGGAGGGACGGGTGGACAGCATGAGGGGCAGGTGGGCTAGACCAGGCCACAGCAGCAGGCGGAGGGAGGCCAGGGGGCTATGAAGGGGCAGACTGGGGCTGGATTGACCCAGCCGTGGGACCTGGAGGGGGTTGTTCTGTAACCATCTTGAGGGTTCTTTGCATGCCAGGGAGTCAGCCACTTGGCAAGCCCAGGGCCCCCTCAGCATGTGGGCTCTCACCTGCCTGCCCTGAGCTTGGTTGAGAGAAGGGAGAGATTAATGGCAGCTGGGCTTCCCAAGAAAGGGCTGGGTCAGCCTGGGGCCAAGTCAGAGTTGGAGGTCATTGTCAGGGCTAGAGTCATTAACCCCGACTGACCTGGGCTAGTGTTGGATTGGGGGTTGGGCATTAGGGTTAGAATTGAGGTGAGGTCAAGCTAGGGGTCAGAGTTAGGTTTAGGGTTAGTGTGAGGGTCAGAGTTGAAGTCAGAGAGAGGATTGAGGCCAGTGTTAGCTTTGAGGTAGTGTCAGGTTTGACCTTGGGGTTAGGGTCAGGTGGCTTTGAGGGTGCATCTAGTTAGAGATAGAGCCAGGCTTAGGCTTGCATGGAGGTGGGTTGGTGCCTCCAGCCACGACCTTCTCCCTGCAGAACTTTATCAAAGCCAAGCAGTACCCACCAAGCACGCAGGTGGAGGTGCAGAATGATGGGGCAGAGTCAGCCGTCTTTCAGCAGCTCTTCCAGAAGTGGACACTGCCCAACCGAACCTCAGGCCTGGGCAAAACCCACACTGTGGGCTCCTTAGGTGAGGGCTGGGAAGGGCCGTGTGGGAGCTGGGCTGGGGAGCTGCCTGGCTGGCCTGCCCTCCTTCCCTGGCTGCCTTTCCTCTGTGCTCTTACCCTGGCTCTGAGTCTCCCTGGCAGGGTGGGAACACAAGGGAACATGGAGAGACTAAAAAGATGTCCCAAAATGGGAACTGAGGAGGACCTGCCTTTGATTTGGAGTGGGTTGGGCCTCCTTGGCATCCAGCTTCCATCTCTCCCCGGACAGTATTTGCAGAGGTCAAGCTGGGGGCTGGGCACTGGGGTGGGGAAGATAAAGGGTAATGTAGAGCCCCCACCATCACAGGCGGAGCTGGGGGAGGAGGCCAGTGCTGGAAGCCTGAATGCTGTAGGGGTCAGGACGGGGTAGGTCAGAAAGTGGGTAGATCAGGAAGCTAGAGCCTCTCCCATCCCTCTCCTGGCTCCCCTGGGAGGCACTGACAGGGCAGAATCTCATGGGCAAGAAGTTATGGTTCTGAATGAGTTCTGTCACACTACCTGTGTCACCTTAGGCAAACTATTGAATCTCTCGCCTGTTTCCTCCTCTGTAAAATGGGCCTGAGGATTGTGATGGCTGTTGTGAGGGCCTGGGGGACCCCAGCTGGTGACAGTTGTCATGATTGCCCCACTCCAGCCAAGGTGGAGCAGGTGAAGTTTGATGCCATGTCCATGCATGTCCAGCCCCAGATGGCTGCCCAGCAGAAGATGGTGGACGACGGGAGCGGGGAGGTGCAGGTACGTGAGGGCAGGGGAGGCGTGCTGGGTGGAGGAGGGAGAGGGAGAGGGAGCCCGTTCTGGACCTCACATTGGCCTGATACCTACCCAGGTGTGGCGCATTGAGGACCTAGAGCTGGTGCCTGTGGAATCCAAGTGGCTAGGCCACTTCTACGGGGGCGACTGCTACCTGCTGCTGTATACCTACCTTATCGGGGAGAAGAAACACTACCTGCTCTACATCTGGCAGGTCAGGCTTTGCCCCACCCCCACAGGGCACAGCCAGCTCAACTCTCCCCCAACATGCCCCTGTCAGTAGCCAACACCCTTGAGTTGAATTCCTCCAGGGATAGGGCGCTCACCTCCTCAATAGGCAGCCTGTTGCTTCTTACACTTCTTCGACTGTGAGAGGGAACTCACAGTACTCCCATCGCAGCCCTTCCCTTCTGTTGGGTCTCCAGACTCCCTCCTCGCACATTCCTTTTACCTGCTTTGCCTGGGGGTTTCTGTGCCCAGGTGAGAGGGAGCAGGGAGGTGCCTAGGGGCTAGTGGTGAGTGGTGTGGTGCCCATGGTGTTCCCTGAGGAAGGAGACATAAGAAGGTTTGGGGTCAAGGCTCGGCTGCAGGGGGTCCAGGCTGGGCTGGTCCTGGGTAGGGATTAGATTTGGGGGTGGGATTAGAACTGAGGTCTGGATCAGGTGGGGTTTTTGGCTGTGTCCAGGGTGGGATTTGGTGGAAAGACTCGGGCTCAGGGCCAAGTCAGAATTGGAGGAGTTGCTGCCAAGGTGGGGGGTGGGGCTGGGATTAGCAGCTAAACCTATTCTACTTCCCTCCTGCCCATCCCCAGGGCAGCCAGGCCAGCCAGGATGAAATCGCAGCCTCAGCCTATCAGGCTGTCATCTTGGACCAGAAGTACAACGATGAGCCCGTCCAGATCCGGGTCCCGATGGGCAAGGAGCCGCCCCACCTCATGTCCATCTTCAAGGGACAGATGGTGGTCTACCAGGTGTGGCTGCCCGGGAGATGGGGATGGAGACCTGGCATGGGGCGGGGCTCAGGTGAAGCCTGCTCTTCCTCGGAGAGGCCTGTTTGAGGCCCCGTGACCTGTGGGAACCAGCAGTAGAAATGCTTTAGGAATAAATATTAACAAGTGTTCACCATGTGCGGGCACTGTCTGCCTCCACATCTCACTCCTTGGATCCTCTCCAGGAAAGAGGAAAAGAGGAAGTGACTTTGGCTAGATTTGCCTAAACAGTGCTTCTATCCAAAGCACATCAGTGCCTCCCAGCATGGTGAAAATAGACATCTCGTGCCATCACATAGGCAGTAACGTTTACTGAGCCCCTACTAAGCAAACGGTCCTTGGCAATTCCCTGAGCAAGAAGAGTGGCAGGCGAATGTAGTCACCATTTTGGCGGGAGAAGAAAGTCCCATCAAGGTGCCTGAACACTCAGCAACCAGCCTGAAGTGCCATGTGGTCAAATCCAAGAAAGCAAACTGAGTTCAGTGGGGAGCATGAACACAGTAATCCAGGGTGGGAAGGAGGTTTGGAATAGGTGCTGCCATCTGAGTCAGCATGCAAGAGCTTAGCAGAGGGACGATGAGGGCACGCGATGCAGGGGACACATGACAAAGGCCCAGGGGAAGGATCTGTGGGGATCAGTGAGAAGCCTGGTCCAGTGCCCAGAAGGTTGGAGAGAGCCTGAATGGGTCTGCAAAGGCAGTTTACATCTTCATTATGTGGGACCCTCAAAATTCTGGCTGAGGAGCCGGGATGTCGTCTCTACACAGTGGGGAGCCATTGAAAGTTTCTGAGCAGAGGAATGCCATGTCCCAAGCCCTGTTTTGGAAAGGAATGACGCTGTATCAGAGAAAATTGCTGGGTAGGCAGGTCCTGCCCCACCTCTCTGATTTTCTTTGTGTCCCTTTAGTTTCCTATTGTTTTTCATTTTTTTTGGCCAGAGGGTGCTTGCTTGCCAGAGGGTAACAGAGAGAGAAAGGGAAAAAGCACCCTTGAATGGAGCATGGTCACACCGCAATCTCCTCTCCTCTAGTTCTTCATCCTGTCAGGATTTTGGGCATCCACGCGCATGCACCTGGCATATTTTTCTCTTCGTTCATTCTTTTTTTTTTTTTTTTTTTTTTTCTTTAAGAGGTTTTTGCTATAGGGTGCATGCACTCGCCAGAAAGACAGAGACAGAGAGACAAAGCAAGAAACATTCCCTGGGAGGATGGCCATGCCGCAATCCCTTCTCCTCCAGTCTCCTCTCGGGATCTTGGGCACGTACGCACACGTACCCAGCGTGAATTTAAGCCACCGAGTATGGGACTCAAACTGCAGTTGACTACATGGGAGTCCAGCAACAAAGCCATTATACCAACTCTTGGTCCTGCACCTGGCATATTTTTCTTTCTTCTTTCCTTCCCTTCTTCCCTCCATCCCTCCTTCTTTCCTTCCTTTATTCCTTTCTTTTGTAGAATTACTTATTTAATTGTGTTTATTATTATTATTATTTATTTTGACCAGAGAGAGAGAGAGAGAAAGGGAAAGTGAGAAAGCAAGCCACCAGGTCCGGGACTGAAACCACTGTTGTGTATGTGGGAGTCCAGCGCCTTAACCACTACACCACCTGCCAGTCCCTACTTGGCATACTTTTTAATCTGCAGTGACCGGAATTCAAACCGTGTGGTCAGCCATGTGGGATCCAGTTCCCTTAACCACCAGGCCATGGGGGTGGTTCATTTTTCTTTTCTTTTTTTTTTTTTT